AAGGCACTGGTTGCTGGCGTACTGTGAGCCTGAACTTGGGCGTAACACCAAACCGCCCTTTGTGATATTTGTTATAGATGCGCATTCCCATTGAGGCCTGACGGGCCTTGATCCAGCCCGGCGCACCGTTGTGGGAACACACGCATGCCACACACGATCGGTTTTCGCAGAAACATGTGGGCAATTCGGAGCTCCTCTTAGTGGGAGTGTCACAGAGATAACATTAAGGAGCCACTACGAGGTGGCCACACAACACGAAATATCACGAGATGCTGACAAGGGGAATCAGCTGTCGACTAAAACGATTATAATAAGGTTAGATGACCCGAGAAAACCAGCAATGTATATCGCGTCTTAGGATACCTAACAAGGTCTGGGCGAGGAGACAATAAAGTCAAGCCTTATAACTAGGCAATATCTTGATGAACAACCTTATCAACAAAAAATAACAAATGCAAACAATGTGGGAAAGCTGCATAGTCCAGTCATAAGCGACTGAAAACTAGGTTTAAGAGACAACTGTAAAGCACGAATGGATCACTCATCAAAATAGTTGGTCAGTTAAGATGGCATAATTATCAGGATCAATGAAACTCACATTCCAGCATGGCTGTTTTGTGGAACGTTTGCGGAGGCTGTATCAGAATAGACGCTGTAAGAGGATGTTTGGATGACTCCTAGGTTATAGGAATCACCAGAAGGAGCGGAGTATTGTCCGTTATTTGCATATTCTTGAAGGCCATTGGACATATACTCGACAGATGTTGGAGGCGGTGGGGAAAATGCACAAGGTGGAGGTGGTTGGGCAAACTGCTGGGCAACTGGAGAAGATGGAGTTGTGGGCATAAATTGGTAATGAGCTGCAGCATTTTGTGGGTCAGCCTGGTAGTGGTTGATAACCGGCGTAAGCGGCGTGTTTTCTCTGTTAAAAACATAAGAAATTTCAAAACGGTTAGTGAGCTTCGGTAATTATACAACTGGAGTTTTATACAAGCTGTCCGCATAACACTGAACCAGTTTCTGTCTAGGCTTATATTAATAGTTCAGATAGTTGGACTCGTTTATGGCCAGTGCTCTGATTGGTGGACTGAGCGCAGTCTGTGCTAATAACGACCGCGACTGATGCCCTGCAAGACTAATCCAATCGTCAAACTAACCACTGTTACCAGGGGAGGCGACTAAGGAGGGGACAGGTCAGGTCAGGTTTATTAAGGGAAATAGGGGAAAACTCTTTTAGAACTCCCTATTGGTAATACAACGGCTACGAAAGGCACTAATATAGCAGAACATTCCATATGAGGTTGCCTACATGATTGCACACGAAAAGCGATAATCAACGATACTAGAGGAATGTGCGTAAATTCGCCAAGAAATAGAAATAAAACCTTGAGAACCTTGGAAAACGTGGAATAATTGATTATATTCCCAAAAAAATAACTTCAGGTGCAGACTTTAAGAAAATAAGTTTCTCAAATATAAATATTTTAGAACGCGTCGACGAAGCATTTACTTCAACTATGGAGGGACCACACAATTCGTTTCGTAAAGAAAAATTTGATGATATTTCAGAGAATAGGGACTTGTAAAAATGTGTTAAGAACAGGACGTACGTGTTCACATTGGATGGTGCATCCGGTGTCTTAAGATAATAAGAAACAAGTCAGAGAGCATTAAATGGAGGCAGTGCTGTTATAAATTAGTCTCATTAGCTATTATC